TGGAACCAATGTACATCTTATATATATTGATTGATGTCTCATGTCTCCCTAAAATGTGTAAAAGCAAGCTGTATCCCAACCACCCTGGGCACATGTAGTCAGGACCTCCTGAGGTTGTGTCACAGGCACGTCCTTAGCCTTGGCAATATAAACCTTCTAAGTTGAGCCCTGTCTCAGATACTTTTGGTTCATGCCAACATATCTATGAGCACCTTACAGAACCCAAGGGCAAGCTCAACTACCAGGCCCTGGGGAACACAGGAGGCAGGACCTACCATTAGTGCCTTTGCTCTAACCACTCCCACCAACCACCTGTCAGTTCCAATCAACAGATTTGCATGAGAGAAACTGATGAGTACAGTTTGAGCCACAGGCTTAACCCAGCAAGTACCCACTATTATACAATCAGGAGCCACCCAAGTGTCCACCTGTTCCCAAAGAAAGGCAGTCATTGGAAATTACTCCCAGAGCCATATGCCACATTCCCCAAAAAGGGAAAAAGAGGAGAGAAAGAGGAAAGAGCTTTTGTAGGACTGTGACTGCTTGGCCAAAGTATCCAACTCTGATTCTTTAAGGCATGTTGAGGAATAACTTCTCAACTGGAGCCTGACTAGATGGAAGGAGTGAGGGTTGGGAGGGCAGAGGCAGAAAAGACAGGAAAGAAAGAAAGAAAGGGTCAGTGAGCCTGGCCCTTAGACCTTGGAAAACTTTGTAGTCTTTGACCACAATTCCACCTCTGGCACTCAGAAAAAATAATAATCCTAAATAATAAAAAGTTTTATGTTCAAAAATAATTCTACAGAACCACACAAAAAAGATATCCAACTTCTTGGAGGGCAAATGTAACTATGGTAGGAATCATGATAGCTGACATTTATTAACCACTTGTGATGTTCTAGGCACTGTGTTAAGAATTTGTCACCACTCATTTCATCAGACTTAAGAAGTGAAATAATTTGCTAACATGTTATAACAAGTAAGGAGTGGACTCCAGATCTGAACCCAGTTCTGACAGCAAAGCCAACTGTCTTTTTTTTTTTTTTTTTTTTTTTTCCTGGAGACGGAGTCTCGCTCTGTCGCCCAGGCTGGAGTGCAGTGGCTGGACCTCAGCTCACTGCGAGCTCCGCCTCCCGGTTTTACACCATTCTCCTGCCTCAGCCTCCCGAGTGGCTGGGACTACAGGCGCCTGCCACCTCGCCCGGCTAGTTTTTTGTATTTTTTTTTTAGTAGAGACGGGGTTTCACCGTGTTAGCCAGGATGGTCTCGATCTCCTGACCTCGTGATCCACCCGTCTCGGCCTCCCAAAGTGCTGGGATTACAGGCTTGAGCCACCGCGCCCGGCCCCAAAGCCAACTGTCTTTAGCACCACAGTGTACTGTACTACAGCAACTGCACTGTACCACATGAAAAATGGCAACTGTGAAAACTACATAGTAATATGGGGAAAGATTATGGTAAAGTATTCCTTGAATAAAGACTACAAAATTATACATAAAGAATGGCCAGAAGCGGTGGCTCATGCCTGTAATCCCAGCACTTTGGGAGGCCAAGGCGGGCGGATCACCTGAGGTTGGGAGTCCAAGACCAGCCTGACCAACATGGAGAAACCCCATCTCTACTAAAAATACAAAATTAGCCGGGAGCAGTGGCGCATGCCTGTAATCCCAGCTACTAGGGAGGCTGAGGCAGGAGAATCGCTTGAATCCGGGAGGCAGAGGTTGCAGTGAGCCGAGATCATACCATTGCACTCCAGCCTGGACAACAAGAGTGAAACTCCATCTCAAAAAACAAGACAAAAAAAAGATTACAAGAACGTTTACAAGCATACAAGTATGAACTGAACTCCCCCCCCCCCACCACCACACACACACACACAGAGGCTGGCTGGGGTATCAGTCTAGGTGTAATCAGGAAAGAGTAACCACTACAGTAATTTGAACAGGAAAATAATAATATAAACATGTATTAATTATAATAGGGGACTGTAGTCCCCTACAGTTATAAGGAACTGCCTAGTAAAAACAAAAAAGAATGCTAAATAATACAAGAATAGCAGATATAAGTAGCCACTACCTCAAGCACTGAGACAGAGCACCTAAGAAAAGGTCCCAGATCCCCTTAGATCAGAGGAAGTTGGTGCAGAAGTTGTGTGTGCCACAATAGCCCAGCATTGTATGCAAATGCTCTTTAGAAAAATATGGGAAACGTGGAGGTTGCATCCATACCAACTGACTTTGGAACCAACATTACACAGTGCCTGGTACAGATATCCAAGTGTTTTCTACATACATGTCTGAACACCCCAGATAGGAGATATTCTTTTAGGGCAAGGGTTATGTTTCATCCTCCTCCTATAGCCAGCCCTATACGTGGTATACATAAGGAGTTCAACAACAATTTACTTTTGAATAGAATATATGAACTCTGAGGGAAGACTCCTATTAATCTGTGCCTTTTTTCCATTAATTTTTATTCTATTTTTTCTACTGTAAAAACAAAAATAATGCTTATTAAAGAAAATGCAAAGGTTAAACAAAAGGAGAAAAATATCAGCCATATTCCTGCTACCCAGAAATAATCACTATTAGTACTTTGGTGTATTTTTTATACCAATAGTTTTTTTTTTTTTTTTTCTTTAAACATAGATGTACAGACATCCTATCCAACATGAAATTTCGTAACCTGAATTTTTTTACCTATCATTAAAAAAGCGTTTCTCCAACTCCTCAACCGTTCTTAAGAATTAATGGTTGGCCGGGCACAGTGGCTCACGCCTATAATCCCAGCACTTTGGGAGGCCGAGGCCGGCGGATCAAGCCAGGAGATTGAGATCATCCTGGCTAACACGGTGAAACCCCAAACCCCGTCTCTATAAAAAAAATTACCCGGGTGTGGCGGCATGCACCTGTAGTCCCAGCTACTCGGAAGGCTGAGGCAAAAGAATCGCTTGAACCCGGGAGGCGGAGGTACTGCAGTGAACCGAGATCACGCCACCGTACTCCAGCCTGGGCGACAGGGACACCGTCTCAAAAAAAAAAAAAAAAGAATTAATGGTGAATTATTCTCTATAGAAAATGTTTACATTGATGTTGAAACTACCTTAAATGCTACCTGCACAATATCTCTTTCTGAAGATTTTAGGTAGTTTACTTAACTACTTCCCTTTTGGAATTCTGAGGTTCTATTTTATTTTTCCTATTATAAATAATTCCATAATGAACATCATTGTACTTCATATTATCTCTGGTAGGCCTGTTTCCGACAATGGCTGTGCCACGTGTGAAATTACCAGTTCAGATGCTACAAATGCGTTTATGGCCACTGAGCAAAACTTAAGATCACCAGACATCTGCTTCTAAACATGGAAACTAGTAGCTTCCCCTTTTTCAACAGGACACAAACCCGAAGCTCCTTCTATGCCCTCTAGTCCTAACACTTGCTTACCTATCACCTAACACATCCTCTGCTCTTCCCTGTCCATAAAACGCTGCCCAGCCCTACATGACTACACGACCCTGGGCTGGTCCCATTGCCCTTCGGACCTCATCAGTCACCATGTTGCCCAGTTGGAGGGTGGCATGACTGAAGTGCTGGACCAGAGGATATCCTACGGCCCTTCCTGGAGGGGAGGTGGCGCCCTGGGCGCTGAAACCAAGCGCAGGGTCTTGGCAGGGCGCATTCACTTCGCCGGTAGACCTGGGGGCTCAAAGCAATAGAACTACAGCTTGGAGCTCCAGGGAGGGCCCAAGACACCGCAGCCCTTCTCCATCTAGATCCCGAGATTGGCCCCTGGCCCCCACTCCCAGCCTTCACTCCATCTCCCCTGCAGCCTCTCTTCTTGCCCGCGGCTCACCCAGTCTACCCTCCAGACCTCATTCGGACTCCCCATTCTTCCCAGTGGAGGGGTCGCCCAAACCCCTCAGGGTCTCCTTTCCCCCTCTGCTTTTTTTTCCGCGCCGTCCAAGCCAGTCCCACTCTCCAGAGTCTGGAAGGGATCGGCTACCCCCAACATTGCGACTACCTTGCAAGATCCCCCATCACCTCCTCCGTATGTCTTTCCACGTATCTGTATGTGGTTGTCCCTCTGTCTTTCCCGCCATGACTGGCTGTCCGTCCTATTTCACCCACCCTTCCTCCCATGGATTCGCGGGTCCTCTGGCCCTGGCCCTTTCATTTTATTAATCCGTCCCTCTCATGATAGCACCTCTATCCTCTCTAGGTCCCCTCATATGCCGCTCCTCCAAGTCTGTCCCTCAGCGTCCCCTTCCGCGTCTCAACTGTCTGTCCCCGAATGTGTTCCTCTGTTCCTGGAGTCTGGCCCTCGGTCCAGCCAGGCTCCTGCTCACCATCCCTCCCCGGGGCCGGAGAGTCTGCGGCCCGGTTCCCAGTTCTCGCCGGGGTAACTCTTTCCTCTTCCACTTTCTCTACTTTGAACCCATCCCAGCAGAGTCCAGGAAGTAGCCTGGCGCCGGAGACTGGCGGTGGTGACGCCCAATGGGACGCGCCAGCGGCGGCAGCAGCCCCGCCCAGAGAGCAAATGAGACCAATGGTCGCGTGAAGGCGGGACTTCCGTTGTCCCGCGGAGGGCGGGGGGAGCGAACTGTTGTGGTGCGGCGCGTTCGGCGGGCGGCGGCCGGGCGGCCCTGGGGCTGCCGCGGGACTCGGGGCGCAGCTGAGCTGCTGCAGGGGTGGAGTGGGCCGGACGAGCCGCGGGGCCCGGGTGCCGCGGGTTCGAGGCCGGGCCCCGCGCGAGGAGGCCGCGCCACCCCGGGGGAGCTGCCCGGCAGCGAGTTTGCCCCGCAGCCGAAAGAAGGCGGGAGCCGGCGGGGGCCTTCGAAACCCCCTGGCAACCCAGGCCCGGAGTCCTTAGGGAGCAGCTGTTTCCTGGGACGCCCTCCCGGACGCCCCCGCTGCAGGGTTACGGTTCTGGGCCCCCGGCAGAAGGCTCCTCCGGGTGACCCCCGGCGGGGCCCTGCGAGCCGCGGGAGCCGACCCCGGGGCCTCGAGCGGGGAGGAAGGGGGCTTCCGGAGGCGGAGAGCCGGGGGCGGAGGGACCCAGGCCTCTCGGACGCGGGGCAGGGCAGCGCCGGGGCTGGAGACGGACTCTGGGACCCTCGGGTGCGGGAGTCTCAGCGACCTGCCCCGCGGCACGCGCGGCCGCGGAGTGGCCTACCGGGGACCCTCCCCCAGAGGGACCGGCCCGGGGCGGGGAGATGAACGGCTTCAGCACGGAGGAGGACAGCCGCGAAGGGCCCCCCGCCGCCCCCGCTGCCGCCGCCGCCCCGGGCTACGGCCAGAGCTGCTGCCTCATCGAGGACGGCGAGCGCTGCGTCCGGCCCGCGGGCAACGCCTCCTTCAGCAAGAGGGTCCAGAAGAGCATCTCGCAGAAGAAACTCAAGCTGGACATCGACAAGAGCGTGAGTCCGCCCCCACCCGCGTCTGGGCCCCGGCGCCCCCAGCTCTCCGTCCGCTGCCCCGGGCTGCGGTCGGGACTCCCTGGGCACTCCCCGCCGTGGGCCTCGCCGCCCCGCGTCTGCAGAACTGAGTTGGACTCGGCATTTCAAAGGCCGCTCCAGCGCTGACATGCTCTGACTGTGATTCTACCCAGATCCGGGAGGATGGGGGCGGGGACTTCAGGACTCCTGCTGCCTGGGAAGATTGGACAGCAGTTTCCAACTTGTTTTATTGGTTTATGGTTTAGACTTTAGAGCAGGGAGAGGTGGGTTAATTTTGTTGGCCCTTGAAGCAGCAAGAATCGGAGGGGCGGGTGATGAAGATACCCGGCTCTTTTCCAACTTCTCTCTCCTTCTAGGAACCCTGTTATTCCTTCAGACAGAGAAAGGTGGCAGTTACTTCCCTGGCTCCCGCAGCCTCGGTATCTGCAGAGTGTCACCGAGCTAGCTGCTTCGCAGGCAACTGTGGGAATGGGTTTTTCTAGGATGTGGCAGAAATAAGACCAAGGCCAGGTCTTGGGAAATGGCTCTTGCAGTCAATGTGACTGGAGGGGGAAGAAAAGAAATCAATTTTCTTAGTGGTAGTTTCTTTTGAAATAAGGGGGTGGAGATTTAAATTTAAATCGGATTGCCCTGCTCTTTGTGGCTTATTATAGGAAACTTCTGTGTGATTTCACCACTTCTAGTTAACAATTCTGAAGCTGTGCCTATTGTTAACCAATTAAGAACTTTTTAGTTTGACATCTGTTGCTGCAAGCCTTAAGTGATTGCTTTATGATTAGGAATTGAAAATGAGTTAAGGGGATATTTAATATTCAGGTAAACTAGCTAAGAGCTTAGGTGGTTAACATCCATTCTCTTTTAGAATCAGAATTTCTCCACAGTTGTAGGAAATCAGAGACTGCTTGTTAAACTGAAAGGGAGTGCACGTTTCCTCTCTGGTTTTAGGGTTGCAATAGGCCCAGAGATAGGAAGTGAGGGTGTCAGATACACACAGCACCTAGGAGGCTGGTTAATTTCTTAAACATACTATCTAATTTACTTCCAAGCCCTATATATAAGTCTTCATTAAGTCTCTAATAAATAAAAAATCTCTCCTGTCCTTTTTTTTTTTTTTTTTTGAGACAGAGTCTCTCCCTTGTCACCCAGGCTGGAGTGCAGTGGCAAGATCTCGGCTCACTGCAACCTCCACCTCCTGGGTTGAAGCGATTCTCCTGCCTTAGCCTCCTGATTAGCTGGGATTACAGGCGTTTGCTGCCATGCCTGGCTAATTTTTGTATTTTTAGTGGGGATGGGGTTTCGCCATGTTGGACAGGCTGATCTTGAACTCCTGACCTCAAATGATCCACCAGCCTAGGCCTCCCAGAGTTCTAGGATTACAGGCGTGAGCCACTGTGCCCAGCCCCCTGTCTTTTCTTCAGACTCTTCCCTCCTACCCCTGTTTTTAAGTTAATCATTATAATACAGTTGCTACTCTTGCATGGACAGTTGCTATTTTTAAGTGGTTGGGAGAGAGTTAATGGCTTTCTTACTACAAATCTCTATCAATGAATACATGAATGGAAGTTATCTGAGAACAAACAAGGGGCTACACAACAAGGTGATCCCTTGTTAGGTCACCTATTGAGGTGAAATGCTTATGACAATGAATTCATCCACTTAGAAATACTGCCTGCCTTCTGTGTAGGTTGTTAGAAGCTGCTTTACTTGAGCAGCTTATAATAATATTTTCCAGTCCTTAAAAAAATAGAATCTTCCAGTCCTTTTAGATCACTGGATGCCTTCCCATCTGAATGATTTTGCTGCTGCAACCAGGACTCCTTTTATTTACCCATTGACTCTACTTGAAAACCTACGTTGAGCTATGCTGATCATTTCACACCCACTGTCTAGAAGAAGGGCAGCCTGAGCCTAGCATTAGTGTTCCCAAAAGGTAATACTTCTGAAGGAGTAAGGTTTCCAGGTGGAATCATTCACAATTTGTTTTAAGGTGGTGTTGTGGAGTCATTATTTCTGAAAGGGATTCTATTTCTTTCTCACAGGCTTGGGCAGGAATTCAATTCCAAGTAACTGCTATGTTACAATAATTTTTAGCTATTGCAGAAAGTGAAGGAAAAAAACCTAGAGCCTTTGCTACCACCTCCTGCCCCGACCCCACTCCCAAAGGCCACTGAGCTCTGAAATTTCTGAAAACCAGTATGTACATGAAAAGGGTTAAGGAGAAAATTATTATTTATCTTGTAAGAGAGTCTAGCAGAGAACCTTTTTAAATAACAGCACCAAAAATTCAACTCAGGCTGTTTAACTCATTTTATATAGACTTCGGCAGTGTTCTGTGATCTATTAAAATATTAATACACCTCCAGTTGACATTTCTGCTTTTTTTTTTTTTTTTTTTTTTCCCGGAGAAAAGTGGAAGTTGAGAATAGTATAAAGGAAAATGCTGCGGTAGGAAAAGACATGTACTAGGGGGGCAGAAGGCCTGGGTGACCTTGGCCAGGTCATTTCCTCACTCTGGATGGCTTCATTTTTACCCTTCTAGAAAACGGGATTGGGGTCAATGGGATTGTACTAGTGATTGCTAAATTCTCTTACAACTAGGATTCTGTTATTCTATTGTCCTGATCTGAAATCTCCCAGCCGAAGCTTTAGGAAGCCACCTATTCTCTCTGTTCTCCTATGAAGTTCGTTAATGTGAACTTGAGCAGTTGATCTGAGTGGTCTCGCCAGTCTAGCTAACGTGCAGGACCAGCTTCCTCTCAGGGATGCAGAGTGGGCTTTGTTGTGCTTTCTTCCTGGAGAAAAGCATGTTCAGTATTATATACATCAGCTAGGTGGGATTCTTAGGGACAGTGGCATGTGCTGTGTTCGAAAGTCCGAGTTGAATCTGACAAAGCTATCCCAATTTGTAACCACGTAAGTGGCTTTCATTAGCCTAAGCCACTTTTAGATATAGGAGATTTCCTATATTGGTACATCAACATTTTCCAAGTACCTCCCGTCTGCAAGACACCATCACGGTATAAACTTAAAAGTACTCATGACTCACTAATCCAGCCACATGAAAGTGATCATTCATCTGAATGAACAGTTTTCATTATTTTCTCCATGAAAAGGTCTGAATTAATTGATGCGATTTCCTGCCAGCTTACTTTTATCTTTAAGGATTTAAGGAATAAACTCAAATTCAGAAGTCTCTGCAGAACATTTGTGAAACAGCTGTTTCACTATCAACAACCCCAAGTCATTTGCCAGGCATTCAGTTTCTGTAAGGTTTTTCAATGGCTCCTCCAGCCAGCCATGGAGGATTCTTCATGTCTTAGCTGTTGCTGCCACCTTCACTTACCTCCATCCTGTATTAGAAAATCTGTAGTATCCACCTTCTTGTATGTGGTTCTACCTTGTAAGAATTTCCACATCTTTTTCCACTTTTCTTTGTGGATCAGATGTGAGATAATGCAAGAATTATAAATTGACACATAGAAACAAAGTTTTTCAGAGAGTTATTATCCTACAATAGTAGCTATTGTAAGTGTAAAAATAGAGTGTCCCAAATACCATTGCCACAGTCCCTTGTGTCCTGCTTTCCTCCTCCCCAGGACAGTGCATTCCAGCCCACTATAAGTTCGTGACTCCTACAGGTCTTCTGAAAATGTCGCATCACTCCCTGCTTCCTTGAGGGACTCTGTCTTGTCGGAAGGAAAGTCTAAGCTGTTCTCATGCCCACCGTCCAGATGCCTCACTTTTTCATTATGCTCCTACATTACATGGGCAGCCATCATCACCCAACTGACACTGTACCCTGGGCCTCCTCACTCACTCTTTCTGTCATCCTCCATTGGAAACTCTAAAGTCTTGGCACTCCTACCCATCTGGAATGCTTCCTGTCTGCCTAAAGTCCTCCCTTTTAGTCAGGGCCCTTCACCCTGAGCATCTCTGTTGCAGGAATCTCTTCCTTTGCTGAATCTGTACCATTTACTGTTTTCACCATTCACTGGAGGCTTGGTGTATGATACGCCACAAAGTGTGATGTTAGCGTTCTCTTGGTGTTCTTCTGCACCTCAGTAGTGAGCTTCTGGGAGGCCTACATCTTGTCTTCCGTCTATCTCTCCAATGCCCTGCAATGGACGGAAGCCCCACAATTTGACAGATACCTGTTGCTGTCTCCAAGGAATTGGCCAACTCTGACTTTGATTTTTCTGTCCGTCAGGTAAGGCACCTGTATATCTGTGATTTTCACAAAAATTTCATCCAGAGTGTCCGAAATAAAAGGAAGAGGAAGACAAGTGACGATGGTGGAGATTCTCCCGAGCACGACACTGACATTCCTGAGGTAAAGGTCAAAGAAATCAATTTGCGGAAGCTGGAAAAATGGATTCTAATCTGATCCTCACCTCTGGCCTGGTCTGCTTTTTGTATTAAGAAGTAATTTTAGTCCCCTTTGTTTTGCTGTGGATTATTTGAAAAGTGAATTATAGTAATACGGAATCTGAGAGCTAAAAGCTTGGATACCCACTGGTCAGACTGCCCCATCATTTTATGGACAGGCACAGAGAGCCAAGGTCAGGTATATAGTTTGGAGGCTCTAGTCTGGGGCCCTTTCCAGTAGACCACGCTGTTTTTCTGCAAGACGCCCCTGACAAATGCATAAATACAACCACAGTGTCACTTTTTTAAAAACCTTGTTTAAAACCTTTAGAGAGTGTGTAATGGTTTGGGAGAAGTCTCTTCCCCAGAAAATGAAGATGTAGGTCATCAGTTCATACCAGCTCTGATTTTCTCTCACTGGTTTCTTGACACCTAGTCCAGGCTGTTCCCAAGGATCCATTTCAAAGTTGACTAAACTGGACCTGGTTTTCTCAACTCTAGCACTGTTGACATTTGGGGTCAGATAGTTTTTGTTGTGGGGACTGTCCTCTGCATTGTAGGATATTTAACAGCATGCCTCAGCAGCATCCCATCATGGGATTCTACCCATCACCATCCTGAGTCATGACAATCGAAAAGTGTCTCCAGACATTGCCACACCTCCTTTACAAGACAAAATCGTCCTGTGTTGAGAACCACTGCGCTAGACCATGAGACCTAGGCTTCTCAAACTGGAAGGCCGCCTTCCCTTCAGGTGCCTGTGTCTATTAAGTGAGGCTTCAGGAAGGAATATTGGATTTTCTTTCTACTAAATTGTTTTCACTCAAGACTCAGCAAAAGAAGAACCGTTTATAGTGTACATTGAATATTTGACACATGAATATTTCATAAGGCAACCGCCTGTTAGCACTCAGAGTGAAAATGACTGTGTAGGAATAGAAAGAGTAGGCGGGCCTTTGTCTGCAGATGTGGAGGAAACCGTTGAAAATCTGGCCCTTTCCCTCTGCCCCTCCCTGTGTCCCCTTTTCCAATGTTGGTTTACAGAATCTTGCTGTTGCTTTTAGCATTATTGTTATTTTATAAAGAAATGGATGTATTCGATTTCTAAGTGGTTTTCACCAAAAAAAAAAAAAAAAAAAGGTTTTAAGGAATGTTTTGAAAAGAATGAAGGACTTTGGCCCCTCATATTGATCATTCATTTTGTTTTTAAGTGCTCTCCACCTGCCTGAAGCAAGAACAGCTCTTTTAGAGGCAGGTAAAGGCAGCCCAACTTTATGGGCCTTCGATTTTTCATGACTATGCAGCTTTCCTCTCTTCCTTTGTTAGAAACAAAAAGGGGGGGTCCCTTCCCCTCTGTTATCCAGTCATCTGCAAAGACCCCAACCCTAACCTGCTGGTTTGCACATTCACTACAGTAACTTTTGAACTTTCTCTGGAGGGAGGTTAAGGATTCTAATACCAGAAGGCTGGGCCTAGGAAAGGGCTATTTGAGGATAACAGTTCTTCCCACTGCCCTCCTTTGTGCCCCTTTATCTGGTCGCTGCCTCGTTCTGGCCTATCTTCCTCCAGGATGTCTCTGGTTTTTGCCTTTGCTCTCCATCTTTGGTGTCCCTTCTAACATCACTGCCTCTCCAAAGCTCAACCTCTTTATCTCATTCTGCTTGTTGCTATAGCATCTCCCTCTGTGTTCCCCCATCAGTGTTCCCAACAGCCACCACCAGACCCATCCTGTGCCATCACCCTCTACCCTCTGTGATAGCTCCTTCTGTTTTTCTAGATGTGCTACCATCCATTCTCACCTTTTAAACCCATCACAGTTGCCTGTGACCCCCTTGCCCATCTGTGCCTCTTCCAGCTTTCTGTGCTCTGATCTTTTCTCCTGTTCCCTACCCTGTTTCTCAGTGCCTTATCAGACCCTGCTTCTCCTTAGCTTAAGCTTTACCTTCTCCACCAGTTGTGTGAGATCAGCCCACCCCAGCCAGAACTGTTTTTCCACTGTTATTTTTGCCCTCCCAACCAGTTACTAGTCCTCAATGGACCATTTCTAAAACCTCTTTTGAAGCCCTCCCCATCCTCACCCCTACCTTAGTGTAGTGCTAGGCACATAGTGGGCTCTTGGTGAGTCCTGGTTGGTCAAGTGATGGATAACATTTTTCTCTTCTTCTCCCTAGGTTGATCTGTTCCAGCTGCAAGTGAACACCCTACGACGTTATAAACGACACTACAAGTTGCAGACCAGACCAGGCTTCAATAAGGCCCAGTTAGCAGAAGTAGGTAGACAAAATTGCCCTCTAAAGAGAGCCAGCATTGTGCTGCTTCTGATGGTTACCCTGATTCTCCCTTACTGTGTGTGTCTGCTAATTGTAATCTCCTCCAGAGTTCTGGAAGCAACTCCGTATTCCTCTTTGGCACAATTTAGAACCCCACAGCTTTAGACCTGCAAAGGCCTCAGCTCCAGAAAAGAAACCATGGCACAGAAAGAGGAAAGGATTTGCTTAAAATCACACAGCAAGTTGATAGCAGAATTTAGCCTGGGATCTCATGACTCCAGATTCTAAGTCCTGAGTGTTCATTTGTTTGAATCCTTTTTGCAAGATTCTTTTTTTTTTTTTTTGAGACAGGGTTTTGCTTTATCACCCAGGCTGGAGTGCAGTGGCACAGTCTGGGCTCACTGCAGCCCCAACCTCCCAGCTTCAAGTGATCCTTCCCACCTCAGCCTCCAGAGTAGCTGGGACCACAGGTGCACACCCCTGTGCACAGCTAATTTTATTTTTGTAGAGACGCGGCCTCACTATGTTGCTCAAGTGATTCTCTTTGGCTCAAGCAATCCTTCTATCTCAACCTCCCAAAGTGATGGGATTGCAGGCATGAACCACTGTGCCTGGCTTAGCAAGATTCTTATAGATATGATCATTTTGTGTGTCAGATTAATCATTGCAAAACCTTCCTGATGTTCTACAGGAGCTATTTTTTTTTCCTTGATTTCTCCTACTCTGGTGTTGGTAATAAAAGTATTTTAATGAATGGCACCCAAGAAAGTTTTCTCCTGCCCTGAGTTCTTAACCCAGTTTGGAGTAGGGGGAAGTGCTCCATTGGCCATTTTTAAAATACATGAACTGCCTGGCTTGATAATTCTGTCTTTGTCACTTCTGTAGGTATTTTCTCGTCCTTCTTTTCTTTCTTAATCCCTCTTAATATATTTTTCTGCCTATTATAGAAAAGTTGGAAAATGGAGAAAAGAAAAATATAAATCTATCATCCAGAGATAATCGCTCTTCATGTCTAGTTCTCTGTCTTTTTCTATCTGTTTCAGTCACCTCGATCCATTGAGACTTCCTGAAAGGCTTCCAGCCTGTTTCATTTTTGGTTTTTCCTTTAGAGGTTTCTTGCTCGGCCGTCACTTTTTCTTAAACAACTTCTTCACCAGTGTCCAGATGACACAGAGGAGGTCAGAAGCCTCTCCTACTTTAAAATAACATCACCCATTGCCAGTGTTCTCTCTGGTGGAAGGGAAAGAATGAGGTGGGGCAGGAGGAGACCTGCATTCTCATTACTTACAGAATGAAGTATTAGGAGTATTAGTAAATGATGCATTTTCCTTCAAATCTGATGTGTCTTTCAGGAGGCAGTTATGCACTACTTAGAGGAATTTTGGGGTTCAGATACCTCTGTTCAATTGGTTCAATTGGCTGTTCATTTAACACTTTTTTTTTTTTTTTTTTTTTTTGAGACAGAGTCTTGCTCTATCTCCCAGGTTGGAGTGCATTGCTATGATCTCAGCTCACCACAACCTCTGCCTCCCGGGTTGAAGTGAGTCTCCTGCCTGTTTCCCAAGTGGCTGGGATTACAGGTGCCTGCCATCACACCCGGCTAATTTTTGTATTTTTAGTAGAGACGGGGTTTCACCATGTTAGCCAGGCTGGTCTCAGACTCTTGACCTCAGGTGATCTGCCCGCCTCGGCCTCCCAAAGGGATTACAGGCGCAAGCCACCATGCCCAGCCTAACACAATTTTTATTTGTTTTTGAGACAAGGTCTCGCTCTGTTCCCTAGGCTGGAGTGCAATAGCGCAGTCACAGCTCACTGCAGCTTCAACCTCCTGGGCTCAAGTGATCCTCCCACCTCAGCTGGGACCACAGGTGCATGCTATGACACCAGGCTAATTTTTTAGTAGAGATGAGGTCTCCACTGTGTTGCCCAGGCTGGTCTCGAACTCCTGGCCTCAACTGATCCTCCTGCCTTAACCTCCTAAAGCATTGGGATTATAGGTGTGAGCCACCACACCTGCCCCACAATTTTTAAAAAACACTTTTCTTCCCACTTTCAAGGCCTGAGAGGTTTGGTAGCAGCTGGCCAACCAGAGCAGTCCCCATCTCTCCTCCATGAGTAGGACTGTGAAATTATGCCGTGACAGGTGGTTGGCTGCCACTGAAATAGAACTGCGCCTTGAAGAGTTTTAGGTTAAAAAGCCACTTTTGGATCCTGGAAATTAAACCACCTACATCCCTGGGGAGAAAGGGCAAAGGGCATTCTGAGTTCCGCACACAGCAGGAAGTTCTGCAGCGTTTGTAATTCCTGCCACAGCTTGCAAACAACTCCCTGTTCCCTTTGTACAATGTAGAATTTGCGGTGTGATTTATGCCTGGTTTAAGGAACTTTGGTATTTTCCCCCCACATAGACTGTGAGTCGACACTTCAGGAACATACCTGTGAATGAAAAAGAGACCCTTGCCTACTTCATCTACATGGTGAAGAGTAACAAGAGTAGACTGGACCAGAAATCGGAGGGTGGCAAGCAGCTTGAGTGAGGATGAAGCACATCTTAAAGGAATGAAGTGTAATGCTTGATGCACAGGTGATATCTGCTACATTTAAGCCCATAAAGACTGTTAAATATTATTGTAAATAAAAAAGTTTGAATGATGAATATTGTAAATCTTTTTGGTCAGGAGGATTCTCATGATTCAGCATGTGTATAGAAAGACTTTCTTTTAAGATAACTCTGGACTAAAAAAATCAGGATCATTAAAAGAATTTATGTATTTCAGCATTCAACAAAGCATTAAGTCAATTCTACTGGAAATGTGGGATAAGAAATATTTTGGTAATCACCTTCTTCTCCACCAGGCTGCCACGTGTGAGCCGTAGCTTGGAATAGCTGCAAGGTGCAATTGACCGTGGAAGTGCATGAGCAAACCCACATCTGGACTTGCATGCTGCCCGCTGGCGACATAGATATCCCGCCCGCTTTGTTGCAAGCTTTGTCATTTATCAGCAGATCAGTTTGACACTGGTCCCCCTCACTTACCCTGTGCCTTGTACACAGGAGGCACTCAATCAGTAGGTATTGGCTAATTGAGCTGTCACTAATAGTGCCAGCCTTATAACATCTGCTTCACACCTCTCATTACTGAGACCTCTGCCATTTCTGTTGCTCACCACTTAACTGCTAGAATGTGGAGGAAATCCTGATACACCAACAAGGAAGTTTCTGATCAGATAAGGATTTCAGGACAGTTGCATGTGCAAAACTGATTTTGTTGAGGGTTCCAGAAACACTGATATAGAGACCCTCACAGAAGATACAGTCCCTTATGCACCCCACTATACTTCACTCTTTGGGGTGCAGTTAGATATTATGACCTTCAGCCAAGCTTCTTGGCAATAAATGCATTGACACACTGACATATTTAGTAATTTGGGGTAAGTGTTTTTAGAAGTTTTCGTCCTAAGTTCCCAACCACCATGCAAGCTGCCAGGGGCTATGTGTTTCCTGTCCAGAAGTCCAGCTTAGGATTGAAAGGCTGGCTGGCCTTGACTCCCTGGGCTCTGGTCATCAGCAAATCATGAGTTTGGGCAACAAAGGTCAGTTCCATCTGATGCTCATTTTTGTGAACAATTTGCCTCCCTCTTAGGGAGAAAGATTGCTAAAATAATTTTTGAAAATTACCTAATTTTTTTGTTCAAAACGTTGAACTCCTCAATCTAATTATATCAGAGCCAAAGTATCCTGTGAAAACAAAGCTTTATATCCAAAAATATGCTTTTGCAAAATTCTTTAATCTGTGTAGTGGAGGGCAGAGGGTATGGGGTAGGAGGGTGGGAGAAAGAGAAGAAAAAGATTTGGATTCTGATTTATGACCATCTTGACGTGTGGTCAAAGATGTCATTTTCCTACTTAGTTTCAATTCTGAGTTATTTCTTAAGCCTTAAATAAGAAGAATGGACAGCCTGGCCTGGCAGAGTTTCACAGATGGCTTAATCGGAGCACCATCACAGAGAAGTCAGAACTACACCCACTACTGAGCAGGGTGGCGGAGTGTCCAAAGGTCTCAGTGCTGTGGAGCAGTGTACTACGCTTTCTGTGGAATGGGGACAGGGTCACCATGCTCACTAAAATGCAGTGTGTTCCATTGCAGCAAAGCTTTCGCCTGTGTTCAAAGTGCATGTCTAGCAGATTGCAGCCTTTTTAATTACATATGTATAAATGGGTGTACATAGAACATACTCTGGACTGTGAGGGCATCCTATTTTGGTATGCCTCCTGGCTATGGATGGCATGTTCCAGTGCTCTGTGAGTGTTTTCAGTCATTCACATTCGCTATGTGTTTAGAGATTCTATCCCTGCTTACAGCTGAAAGATGTTGATACAGGCACCAAGAAGGCTGAGGGGCAGATGGGGCCTGCAGGTTAAGGCATTGTTAACTTACTCCATGGAAATGTCCATATCTTAATGAGTAAAAAAGTGTACTTTTCTGATAAGTAAACCAGAATTGTGGGCGTGTAGGTCACATCACTATTTCTTTAGCAGCAAATCTGTTTTCCCAGTTGAGAGAGACAGTAGCTTCTGCACAAGAATATATGGTGGTAGGATCCATCTGTTCAAGTGTGACTGAAAGAATCTTTGTTCCAAAGGGAAACCTGGGGAAACATTTTACCTTCAGCCAGATACTGTGTGTCCACTTGGGTCCCTTGTTGTCTTTCCTCTAAGGAGAGGTACTTGTGGAAAGTGGAGGTTGTGGGCATCTTTTCAACCTGACCTTTCAACAGGTCAGGTGAGAGAAAAGACAAAGCTATTTGAACCTTTGTTTTTCTTATGTCCAGAAATCTGTTCTTTCATCAGACCACTAAACCACTCGCCTTAGCCTCTTCTGCAGTTTCTGGTGGCTCTATCTGTGCGGAAGGGACTCCTGCCTGTGAGAAGTGGCCAGGTCCTCCAGAGCAACGGGGTCTGGCTTCAGGGAGCAGTGGGGTGTGGGGAAAGTAATGTTCATCTTGGCTGCACCATTTTTATACCACCCATCAAGGACTCTTGGCGCTTCTCTCCACCTGTGACATAGCAGCATTGCCTTCTTTCCTCTTGGTGCTTCTGGACAAAACTGGAATTTGAAATCCAGAAGTGGTGTTGTCTTTTTACTTAAAGAGTATGGTTCCTGCCTCACTTCCAGCCTGGTATGGTTCTTTGATATGCCCTGAAGGTTCTCACATGGAAACATCCGTATCCTGCCATTCATATTGTTTTAAGATTTTTTAAAAAACAATGGACAAACTTCTTGCTTCAAAGAACAAACTCTTAGGCTGGCAACAGCATGTAAAAAAGATCATAGCTGAATCTCATGAAAGATTAAAAACCAAAGTATTCAAGACCAGTGTTGTAAAATGAAGAGGAATTTTACTTACGTGTTACAGCTGCCAAGCCGTTAGATGTTCCTGTCATAGCTAAATAGTCACTGCTAGCCTTTCAGAGAACAGATAGTAACAATTGTTTTCATCTGCAGTGTTGCATCTAATTTTGGTGTTTTGGCTCTTTATTTTATGGGAGGTTTTTTGTTAATATCCTGCAGGGCAACTGCCTGGTGGGAGGGAGAGGATGGAAGAAGGAACTTACTCTGGGTGCCTTGCCTATTGAGGGAGGCTGTGCCTGGTGTAGAGCCCAGAGCAGCTGCTTCATGGAAGTCATCCAGAGGCGCTCTCAGTCATTACAATGACAAGATCTCAAAGTTGGGAACGGGCTGTCAAGTCATCCAGTCTAGTCTCCACATAGGTGCTGACATTCTGCGTACAACCATCCCACCAAGGGGTTGAGCAGTCTGGACTTAAACACCTCCAAGGACAGAGAACCCACTACCTCCTGGAGAAGCCTGTTCTTTGCAAACCTCTGGCTTTTCTATGTTCTCTGTAATTTCCATCTTAGTCTGTGCCCCATGGGGGCCACACGGGACAAGTTATTTTTGGCAAAGCACCTAATTGCTGGCGCTGTCCCAAAGCATAGCATTTGCCTTTTGGAAAGAAACAATGCTAGGACACTTTGGTATACCGTCCTTACCCCTGAGTATTAGTCCACTCAGGTCCTTGTTGGAGAATGTTGAGAAAACCCTACTGGCTGGCTTGTTCTTGCCAAAGCTGGGGGATGGGAGGGGGGGGACGAGAAGATGTTAGCAGCCTGCTAAAAGATAGATGACTCAGTTCTGTGCTTGCCCCACAAAAACGGATGCTCACAACATCAGGAAAACGTTCAGCTGGAAGATTTATAACTTCGTTGCTTTGCATGAAGTTGAAAGTTTTCATGGTTGCCCAGGGCTTGTATCTTAGATTCCTGTAAGGACTTCACACTGTTTTTACTGAGAAAACAAAGCTTCAGGACTTAAGGGTCTCAGCGCCAGAGAAGTGCTGTATTTTCAAGGTGGAAAGTCTGTTAAGCTTGCTGTTGTCCAATCATCCGTTTTTAGAGATGGGGAAACTAAAACATAAAGATGTGCCTGAAGTCTTATGGCGTCTTCAGAACCAACCTCTGGCCCTCTTGACCTGTCTAACATTCTTTCTGACTTACAGGATAACTCTAATTCAGTCTAAGTCAGCTGCCCTCAGATTCTTGAGAACTTAAAATTGAGCAGAAATTCCCAAGGCCAACCTGGCTGTCAGGGACCAACCTGCAGAACTCAAGATTGAGTGAAATGTTTAGGCCAGTTGAGTTTTGCAAAATGAGTGGTAGGGGAAAACAGATCTAGCCCGTAATTTAAAACCAGAGTTCAAAAGCCCTAGTGGGAGATGTAGTATTGTCCTAGCATTTAAATTCTCATGAAATGGGCTTGGTCTGTGATCTCTTGATCAGACATCTGCCTTCCAGGTGATCCTTTGAGGTTGTATAATTCAGCTGGTCCTGGCTCGTGGTCCCTGTTACTGAGCTGGGCAGTTGAACTGAAGGTCAGACAAGCGCAAGATCATGCCTTGGGAAGCATGGTGCTTTAGGGGTGCCTTTTTATTCCTTTCATTGTATTATAGACTGTTTCCAAGTTTATGGTTAGAAATGGTAAAGTGGGTCTGATGTTTTGAGGTAGAATCCAGCCTGGGGCAAGATATGAACTGTTCTTGAGGTAGAAATGTCTACAGTCAGTTGTTTCATCTAGCTTGCATCTTAAAACACAAGCCCTTCGGTTGCTTTCATGTATTGAACACATTTGCCAATGACAGAGGGTTATACAGGATCCCTCTTTTACATTTCTATTGTCTGCTACGCTCATCAGAGTATATTTTGGGGTATGAGGTTTTGGGGTTTTTTTTTCCCATTTTGTAACTGCCTTATTGAAAAGTAAGTGCCCTTCCATTCCAGGCCTCCTCATATTGTACTTGTTTCCTGCCAAATCTGGGGGATCATTTGTATTTTAACTTTGTAATCTATGGCTCTGTACTGTTGAAAGGCTCTCAATTCTATGGGGTCTCCTTAGTATGTATGTGACTTTTCATGTTGCAATATCACACAGATGGGATGGCCCGACTTTTGCTCTTAATAAATAATCTGAATGAGTAAGAGACCCTCTGTCTTCCCTTTGAATTTTTATATAGAATTCAGATGCTTTCACTTCCACATTTGGCCCCTGGCAGTGTATACAGTGATTAATGATAGTGGTCCTTCCTCCTAGCTCCAAATACTAGCACCTACATTCCCGGTGCACACTGAGTTTAGATCCCAGAATGTTAGGCCCAAGTTTCCAGTACTGCTATTCCATTCACTCACCTGGAAAGAGACTGACTGGGTCCAACAGCCTGAGTCTGGAGCTCAACTTCCATGTAATATACTGGATGCCCTGGGCAGAGTTCTCCATCTAAATAAACTGGATGGAGGATTGATTGCACATTGAAATACCTGCAGAGGGTGAGCTGCAAACTGGAAAACTCAGGTCCTTTCTAAGGGCAGCCACTACTCAGCTCCCCATTACTGTAGCCTTACGGGCACACCAGCCCCGTGTGACCATGTCTTGCAATTTGACTGGAGAAGCTGGAAATCCAGATCTTCATGTAAACATCCCAATGTTTAAATGTCTCAGACATTTTTAACAGTGTGTGACCTGGAGTTTCTTCAACTAAAATAGAGTCTTGCTATTTAAAGTTGATCCATCATCTGGGCATTTGTTGGAAATGCAGAATCTCCCGGCCCCTCCTGCTGGCTGTCTACTGAATCAGAATCTGTGTAGTAGCAAATTCCCTAGGGATACTACAGCTTGAGAAGCCAGGGCAGTATGACTGCACGTTACTGGTGGAGGTCCCTGAAGCCTACGAGATGACGCCTGTTGCCTGTCCTCACAGTGCTGGAGAAGAGAAAGGCAAGCCTCAAGTTCAGGTCTCCCACTTCAAACCTGTCTCTGGTGCCACTTTACCACAGGTTTGTCCTCAGCAGAATGAACAGGGAGACGTGCAATAAATATTTGTCTTTATCATACTAGTTACATAGAAGTAATACATCTTAACTCTAAAATTTTAA